CCAAACCCTTCAAACTTCCAATCCTAAATACCAATACCCATTTGCTACTACTATATGCCAGATTACACGTATTCTTTACGTATTTGATTGACGACTAGCCTTAATCGAAAGTTCTCTCTCGTGATTGGGAGGGGTAATTAACTACAGGGGCTTGCGCCTATAGGAAACCAGAACTCAGATCATAAAGTCCTCGCAAAATGAGGGCGAAATCTCTGGGTAGTGTCTTATCTACAAACCCATCTGCCTTCCAAAATTTACCCCGGAACTTATTCAGTTAAAACTCCCTTGCCGGAGAATAAAAAAGAAATTGCGCGGCAGGGAGGCCGGGGCTGAATTTTCGGATCCCACAATGTCGATCACCAATTAGTCCCTCAGACTACCTTGTTTGCTTCCAACAAAGCTGATATATCTACTAGGTTTAGGAGATCTTCCAAAGCAGAAAGACTTTCTATTCCTCTTGATGAGCTACGGTCTGGGGGGTCACATTCAGACTCTACCTTTGGATGAGGGGAATATGGGATGCCAAAAATCTCATACACCCTCATATGTGGTGAAGAAATAATGGAGACCCATGGTGATAGCTCCATCTATGGTATACTCTTCACCTTTTAGTTGAATTAATCCTAAAGAGAAACAACCAATGAAAATTGATAGCCATCAAGAGTACAACCCATCCCAAGTCAACCCGACAACAAGTAAAACCATTGGAGAGATAATGAAATATCTGAAAGTTAGCCTCAAAAAAATAGATGAGGATGAAAATAGAGAAAAGAAGGAAGAAAATTATAGAATGTTAATTGAAAACTTTAATCCTGATGAGGGCGATTTTATGGATGAGGACTTTTTTGTTATCCAGTATAGTAGAAGTGGTTCCTCTTGACCAGAAGATTCTCATACGGAGGAGTTATTGGAGGTAAAGGAAGTAGAGGGTAATGAGAATCCTCAAATCCGTACTTAAGCAGTTAAAAGCAAAAGATCAACAGTTTAGCAACATAAATAAAAGATTGAATGAAATGGCATCAGCCATGACAGCTCTTATCACTCAGCTTTTAGAGCTTTAAAAGGTCCCAAATGTTGCAGACAAGCCTTCTGCAAGTACAGGTAAAGCTAAAAATGCTATGTAGATTGATGAAGATATAAGAAGCCAAGAGAAAAATGAGTCTAGTTCCGAATCAGCAAATTAAAGAGTCTATGGCCTAGAGTATAAAAAAATCACCATAGAGGTAGACCTTACCCATAAGAGTTTGATTTGGTTCAGTATCCAAAGCGTTTTGTGTCCGCATCTTTTAAGTTGTTTAATGGAGTGGGGAACCCATGTCAACATTTGGTTCATTTGAGAGCTAGGTGTTGTAATGTGGGTGACAGTGATACAATTCTTTTCGGGTAGTTATGAGCAGCATGTCTAGTGTGACTTTTGATTGGTACGTCGAGTTACCAAATGGCTTGGTAAAGACATTTGCAGAGTTAGAGTCTCTGTTTCTGAAAAGATTTGCAGGAGCTTAGCCCCACATCTAGAGGGACACCTTCTAGTTGAGAAACAGAGGCCCAATGAGGCAATGAGGTGTTGGTGGATTACATTTTCAAGTGGAGAAACCTTAGCCTGATATGTGAATCACAACTCCAAGAGTTGTTTGCTATAGAAATTTTGTTAACAAACATTCATGATCCAATAGCATTAATTCTCAAAGGGTTCACCATAAGTACTTTTGAAAACTTTGAGCAAGGCATCTTGCTTACAGTCTAAAGCAGCTCAATTGTCCATCCTCAGAGATAACAACAATCATGATCAAGCCAAGAAACATTAAAAACATCACAACTACAATACATTAATTGGATGAATAATGAATTAATTTTTTAAACCAAAAATTAAATAAACTTTAGGACAAATTATTTAATTAATAAATTAATTATAAGAACTAATATACTTATATTTACACATTATATAATAATAATAATAATAATAATAATAATAATAATAATGATGATGATGATGGTGGTGGTGCTGATGGTGATAATTAAGAATTTTATTAAAAATATTGTTAATCATTTTTTAGAGGTTTAAAAATTGTGGAATAAAAAATGAATGACTTCTTAACATTTACCTTAAGCATATTTTTTGAGTTTTAAAATTTTTTCCTAGGCATCATACTAGCCAGAATTGTTGGTGAGAGCTTCTTTCAATATATCTTTTTTTGTTATCTATATTCTTAAGTATTACCTAACTGTGGGATTATTATTATTATTATTATTATTATTATTATTATTATTATTATTATTATTATTATTATTATTATTATTATTATTATTA